CCATCACTGACGAGATGGGGAGGAACATGCAGTGCTGGTGTGGTGAGAAATCTATCTGACTCCCGGATAAATCTGACTCCCCCTCACGTGCACGCACGTCACACAGCACCTACAGCGGTCACAGCGGCTTGTTAGAAACCTTTTACCCATCATTTCTTCAGCAAATGACAGCAAGAACGAACATGGAAGCCTTTTTAAATTGACAAGCCGACTTGAAATTACCGATAGTACCTGCACAAATGTGCACAAGCGCGGATGAATGTGCTTTTAAAATGAACGAATCGTTCATGAACGACCCATCACTACAGTTCAGTATTTATTATCTGCTCTGTTATAATGACTGTTTACATTTATATGTTTCTCCAGCATTTCATCACAGTACTCTGAAACTATTTCACTACTATCTACATGGTTTCCGCTGCATTCATTCTTCCGTGGCGAGGCGCCACACCAAAATTCATCCCGCCACTGCTACATTACAGCTTCGCATTCAAAATATTTGGTCGTGTTTTAAATAGCATATTAAAACCACACTGAAAACGTATGAAAGGATAAGTGAATGATAACAGCGCAAACTTTTCTGTGACTGTAGTAGTGCTGTGCGTGCTGTTTAACCCTTTAAGGTGACGTGCTGACTGACTGACTGACAGGTGTGTGATGCGTGAGACCAGCAAACACGGCGTAGCTCTCAGTTATGATGAACACAGTTTCTATAATTATACTTTATTTACAGATAAAGGTCTGTGGCTCTGCATATAATGACTTTATCTTGCTGGAGTTTATAGCCACTTCAGCTTATAGCTTTACTTCAGGACGCATTAATGCTGCGGTCCGCTCCGCAAGTCTATCGGAGACATTCATAAATATTCCTAGCAAATCTAATAAATGTTGGAGACATACTCGCTACATAAACACACTAAATCACACGTTTATTTGAGGACGCGTTAAAAAATCTGCACTTCAGCAGCGTATATTTAAGGGCGCAAGAGATTTTGTGCACGAACAGAGGAAATCGGCGCTCAAGCAGAGATTGACATGCTCGTAGGCTATTACATGAATGCAATCTCGACTTAATACTGACCACATCTGTCAATGAAATAACGCCACATGTAGTGGTAGATCTGTGTAAAATGGCCAACAGAGTCTGCCGCCACAGCTGGAAAAAATCCTAGAGGAAACACTGATCTATAATCTATTCGTTTTCATCTCCTTATTTAATATTTAGCAAAACAAGTTTAGCCAAAAGAAAAAGTGTAGGATTTTTGACATGAGTGAAAGACTTCTCTTTAGATATCTTGGATATGTGCTCGGTTTAATTATTGTGCACAATACATACATGTAAATGTGTAACTAAAACACATATACAGCTGATTTAATTGTGGTTTATAAAATCACACAACTGTGCTATACAGGATGAACAATCAGTAAAGACGTTACTAGGCCATAAAGACTTGTTGAGACACCTCAGCAGACTTCTCTGAATATCACCCATTTTCAGAGACAGAAATAAGCCGTGTGAAAGGAACTTTAATTCTTTGCTGGTGTTTGTGGCTTTTAGGAGACTGAAGAAACCAAAGCGCATTTTGCTCAATCAACCTGATGTTCTCTGTAAAGTTGCATTCAGACATTTCCTGACAGTGTTTTTCCCAGAGTTGAGAAAGCTGTCAGTAAGAGCACAATTATGAAATTTGGCTGACGATTGTTTGTCTAAAAAAAAACAATTAGTTGGCTGTTTTGGTTCTTTGACAATTCTTATTCTGTTTTAGTGCATTGATGATTAACTGGCTGTTGTCGTGTGTTGCTGATTAATTGACTGCTTTGGTGCGTTGATGATTAATTGACTGCTTTGGTGCATTGATGATTGTCTGGTTTTGGTGCATTGATGATTAACTGACTGTTTTGGTGCATTGATGATTGTCTGGTTTTGGTGCATTGATGATTAATTGACTGTTTTGGTGCATTGATGATTAACTGACTGTTTTGGTGCATTGATGATTAACTGACTGTTTTGGTGCGTTGATGATTAATTGACTGCTTTGGTGCATTGATGATTGTCTGGTTTTGGTGCATTGATGATTAACTGACTGTTTTGGTGCATTGATAATTGTCTGGTTTTGGTGCATTGATGATTAATTGACTGTTTTGGTGCATTGATGATTGTCTGGTTTTGGTGCATTGATGATTAACTGACTGTTTTGGTGCATTGATAATTGTCTGGTTTTGGTGCATTGATGATTAATTGACTGTTTTGGTGCATTGATGATTAACTGACTGTTTTGGTGCATTGATAATTGTCTGGTTTTGGTGCATTGATGATTAATTGACTGTTTTGGTGCATTGATGATTAACTGACTGTTTTGGTGCATTGATAATTGTCTGGTTTTGGTGCATTGATGATTAATTGACTGTTTTGGTGCATTGATGATTGTCTGGTTTTGGTGCATTGATGATTAATTGACTGTTTTGGTGCATTGATGATTGTCTGGTTTTGGTGCATTGATGATTAACTGACTGTTTTGGTGCATTGATGATTGTCTGGTTTTGGTGCATTGATGATTAACTGACTGTTTTGGTGCATTGATAATTGTCTGGTTTTGGTGCATTGATGATTAATTGACTGTTTTGGTGCATTGATGATTGTCTGGTTTTGGTGCATTGATGATTAATTGACTGTTTTGCTGCATTGATGATTAATTGACTGCTTTGGTGCATTGATGATTGTCTGGTTTTGGTGCATTGATGATTAACTGACTGTTTTGGTGCATTGATGATTAACTGACTGTTTTGGTGCATTGATAATTGTCTGGTTTTGGTGCATTGATGATTAATTGACTGTTTTGGTGCATTGATGATTAACTGACTGTTTTGGTGCATTGATGATTAACTGACTGTTTTGGTGCATTGATGATTGTCTGGTTTTGGTGCATTGATGATTAACTGACTGTTTTGGTGCATTGATGATTAACTGACTGTTTTGGTGCATTGATGATTAACTGACTGTTTTGGTGCATTGATGATTAACTGACTGTTTTGGTGCATTGATAATTGTCTGGTTTTGGTGCATTGATGATTAATTGACTGTTTTGGTGCATTGATGATTGTCTGGTTTTGGTGCATTGATGATTAATTGACTGTTTTGCTGCATTGATGATTAATTGACTGCTTTGCTGCATTGATGATTAATTGACTGTTTTGCTGCATTGATGATTAATTGACTGCTTTGCTGCATTGATGATTAATTGACTGTTTTGGTGCATTGATGATTAATTGACTGCTTTGGTGCATTGATGATTGTCTGGTTTTGGTGCGTTGATGATTAATTGACTGTTTTGGTGCATTGATGAATAATTGACTGTTTTGTTGCATTGATGATTAACTGACTGCTTTGGTGCGTTGATGATTAATTGACTGCTTTGGTGCGTTGATGATTAACTGACTGCTTTGGTGCGTTGATGATTAACTGACTGCTTTGGTGCGTTGATGATTAATTGACTGCTTTGGTGCGTTGATGATTAATTGACTGCTTTGGTGCGTTGATGATTAAATGACTGCTTTGGTGCATTGATGATTAATTGACTGCTTTGGTGCATTGATGATTAATTGACTGCTTTGGTGCGTTGATGATTAAATGACTGCTTTGGTGCATTGATGATTAATTGACTGCTTTGGTGCATTGATGATTAATTGACTGCTTTGGTGCGTTGATGATTAATTGACTGCTTTGGTGCGTTGATTATTAATTGACTGCTTTGGTGCGTTGATGATTAATTGACTGCTTTGGTGCGTTGATGATTAAATGACTGCTTTGGTGCATTGATGATTAATTGACTGCTTTGGTGCATTGATGATTAATTGACTGCTTTGGTGCATTGATGATTAATTGACTGCTTTGGTGCATTGATGATTAATTGACTGCTTTGGTGCGTTGATGATTAATTGACTGCTTTGGTGCGTTGATGATTAACTGACTGCTTTGGTGCGTTGATGATTAACTGACTGCTTTGGTGCGTTGATGATTAACTGACTGCTTTGGTGCGTTGATGATTAACTGACTGCTTTGGTGCGTTGATGATTAATTGACTGCTTTGGTGCGTTGATGATTAACTGACTGCTTTGGTGCGTTGATGATTAACTGACTGCTTTGGTGCGTTGATGATTAATTGACTGCTTTGGTGCGTTGATGATTAATTGACTGCTTTGGTGCGTTGATGATTAACTGACTGCTTTGGTGCGTTGATGATTAACTGACTGCTTTGGTGCGTTGATGATTAACTGACTGCTTTGGTGCGTTGATGATTAACTGACTGCTTTGGTGCGTTGATGATTAACTGACTCCTTTGGTGCATTGACGATTAATCGTCTGCTTTTGGTGCATTGATGAATATTTGTCTGTTTTGGTGCATTGACAGTTTTTGGTGCATTTACGATTCGTTTTATGTTTTGGTGCATTGAGAAATTAATTGTTTGCGTTTTTTTTTTTTTGGTGCCTTGATACGTTATCTGTTTTGGTGCATTGATGAATAATTGTCTGGTTTTGGTCCATTGAGGATAAATTTATGGTTTTAGTGCATCGACAATTAATTGTTTGTGTGGTGCATCGACAAATAATAGTCAGTTTTTGGTGAATTGATGATTAATTGTCTGTTTTTTTGGTGCATTGAAGAATAAGTGTTTGTTTTTGGCTCATTGACGATAAACTAATAAAATAATTGTCTGTTTTTGGTGCATTGATTAATTGTTTGTTTTCAGTGCCTTGATGAATAAGAATCTGTTTTTGGTTAATTCATGAATTTTTTAATTCATCACTGTTTTGTCTAATTTGGTGCACTGACGAATAAATGTCTGATTTGGGGCTCATAGAGAAATCTAATATTCTATTTTTGTTTTATTCTTTAGGCCTAGACAAATTGATACATTTATTAACGTCATTTTTATAGAGTGCATTTTTTTTTAAATCCTCTGAGATGAGAAATCTTGTATGTGTGTCTGTGTGTGTTCAGGAATTGACTGATCTGGGTCGGGATCCTCCAGCGCAGTGCTCCGCGGGACCCGTCGGCGATGACTGTGAGTTACTTTAATATTATTATTAATATTATTATTATACACTCTCATCATCCTCCTCACATCACTGCTTCACCATAATCAGATGTTTCTCTCTCCTTATTTGCAGTGTTTCACTGGCAAGCTACAATTATGGGTCCTGTAAGTGGATATATGAGCTTATTTGCGTAACAGTGACGTTTATTTGCATGCTGTGACTGTATTGTTTCTGCATCATGTAAATCAGGCAACTTTACCCTGTTGTTTTTGTTTTTACAGAATGACAGTCCATATCAAGGCGGTGTGTTTTTCTTGACTATTCATTTTCCTACAGACTACCCTTTCAAACCACCTAAGGCAAGGATTATTAGCTGGATTGTCAAAGTTTTAGAGCAGTATCATTTCTGTTGTGTTTTAATGGAGTCTTTTCTGCTCAACAAGCATTTGTTCACCAATTACATTTTGAGTTCACCATTGATGTAGTCTTTGATGCTAACATGGCATTATGCAACAAATCAAACTAATTAATTAATCTGCTAATAAAAACAGCGATTTTTCCTACAAGTTTACCGCAGATAGTCAGAAACCCTCTGCTGCTCCAGAGATCTACAGTCAAATGTAAGTAGCTATGTGTTCTGATCCTCTGTTTCTGCTTCTCATTCACAGGTTGCGTTCACCACAAGAATTTATCACCCAAATATTAACAGTAATGGCAGCATCTGTTTGGATATTCTAAGGTCACAGTGGTCTCCTGCATTAACTATCTCTAAAGGTGAGACGTACACACATGGTGGCCTTCTAAGAAATGATTTTACGTAAAGGGTTAGGTCACCCAAACGTTATAATTAGCCCATGTTTTTTATTCTTCAAGTCAAAGTGTGCAAAGATACATTTCTTTCTCATATTTGTTTAGGAATTATCTATTTTTTTTATTATTTATTTAATTGTGTATTTTATTTGATTATTTATTTAACTTTTTTTCTGGTACAGTATGTGTATTTTTTTTCTGGTACAGTATGTGCTTGCCTCTTTTGACCTAAAAAGAGCACCTACTTCTGCTACCCACAAATCAGGTAATCAGCTAGACCTTATTTACACACGACACTGCTTCACTGATCAAACAATAGTAACTCCACTACAAATATCTGATCATTTCCTTCTGTCTCTCAACATCCACATTACTCCTGAGCCGCCACACACTCCAACACTGGTTACCTTTCGCAGAAACCTACGATCTCTCTCACCCAACAGACTATCCACCATTGTTTCAGACTCTCTTCCTCCATCTCGCAAACTCACTGCACTTGATTCGAACAGTGCCACTAATACACTCTGCTCCACACTAGCATCATGTCTAGACCGATTATGTCCTCTTGCATCCAGGCCAGCCCGTGCCAGTCCTCCTGCACCCTGGCTCTCAGATGCTCTCCGTGAGCATCGCTCAAAACTTCGGGCTGCGGAGAGAATTTGGCGGAAAACTAAAAATCCTGCACATCTCTTAACATACCAAACTCTTCTGTCCTCTTTCTCAGCTGAGGTTACTTCTGCAAAGTAGACGTATTACCGTCTGAAAATCAACAATGCCACTAATCCTCGCCTACTTTTTAAAACATTTTCCTCCCTCCTCTATCCTCCTCCTCCACCCGCATCCTCCACACTTACTACTGATGACTTTGCTACATTCTTCTGCACCAAAACTGCAAAAATCAGTGCTCAATTTGCTGCACCTACAACAAACACGCAAGATACAACACCAACACCACACACACTCACCTCTTTTTCTCAGCTCTCTGAGTCTGAGGTGTCCAAACTTGTGCTATCTAGCCATGCAACCACCTGTCCACTCGATCCCATTCCCTCTCATCTCTTGCAAGCCATCTCTCCTGCAGTCATACCAACACTGACTCACATAATTAACACATCTCTTGACTCTGGTTTATTCCCCACTACATTTAAGCAGGCTAGGGTAACCCCACTGCTAAAGAAACCCAACCTGGACCATACGCTACTTGAAAACTACAGACCAGTATCCCTGCTTCCATTCATGGCCAAGATTCTGGAGAAAGTAGTGTTCAATCAGGTCCTGGACTTTCTTACTCAAAACAATCTCATGGACAACAAGCAATCCGGCTTTAAGAAAGGCCACTCAACTGAGACTGCCCTGCTCTCGGTCGTGGAGGATCTCAGACTGGCTAAAGCAGACTCTAAATCATCAGTCCTCATTTTGCTGGACTTGTCAGCTGCTTTTGACACTGTCAACCACCAGATCCTGCTATCTACGCTTGAGTCACTGGGCGTTGCGGGCACTGTTATACAATGGTTCAGATCTTACCTCTCTGACAGGTCATTCAGGGTGTCTTGGAGGGGAGAGGTGTCCAACCTACAGCATCTAAACACTGGGGTACCTCAAGGCTCTGTTCTTGGGCCACTTCTCTTCTCCATCTACACATCATCTCTAGGACCAGTCATCCAGAGACATGGATTCTCCTACCACTGCTATGCTGATGACACCCAGCTATACCTCTCTTTTCATCCTGATGATCCCTCCGTTCCAGCTCGTATCTCAGCCTGCCTGTTGGATATTTCACACTGGATGAAAGATCATCATCTTCAGCTGAACCTCGCAAAAACGGAAATGCTTATAGTTTCTGCCAACCCGACTCTACACCATAACTTTTCAATCCAGATGGATGGGGCAACCATTACTGCATCCAAAATGGTGAAAAGCCTTGGAGTAACGATTGATGACCAACTAAACTTCTCTGACCACATTTCTAGAACTGCTCGATCGTGCAGATTTGCACTCTATAACATCAGAAAGATCCGACCCTTCTTATCTGAACATGCAGCTCAACTCCTTGTTCAAGCTCTTGTTCTCTCCAAACTGGATTACTGCAACTCTCTACTAGCTGGGCTTCCAGCTAACTCTATCAAGCCTCTTCAACTGCTCCAGAATGCAGCAGCACGGGTTGTCTTCAATGAACCTAAACGAGCACATGTCACTCCGCTGCTAGTCCGTTTGCACTGGCTGCCAGTTGCTGCTCGCATCAAATTCAAAACTCTGATGTTTGCCTACAAAGTGACTTCTGGCCTAGCACCTTCTTATCTGCACTCACTTCTGCAGATCTATGTGCCCTCCAGAAACTTGCGTTCTGTGAATGAACGTCGCCTCGTGGTTCCATCCCAAAGAGGGAAAAAATCACTTTCGCGAACGCTCACGCTCAATCTGCCCAGTTGGTGGAATGAACTCCCTAACTGCATCAGAACAGCAGAGTCACTCGCTATTTTCAAGAAACGACTAAAAACTCAACTATTTAGTCTCCACTTCACTTCCTAATCTTCAATTGCCTCTTTGAATATCACACTAATTGTACAAAAAAAAAAAAAAAAAAAAAAAAACTACTAACACTTCCCTTCTTAGACTTTACAGACCTGAAACTTGCCTTTAGTACTTATTCATTGTTGCTCTTAGTTGTGTAAATTGCTTCCTTGTCCTCATGTGTAAGTCGCTTTGGATAAAAGCGTCTGCTAAATGACTAAATGTAAATGTAAATGTAAATGTAAATTTAGCAGTACTAGTTAAGAACTATATAAGAAGTATTAAGGAAGATAGAAGAAATATATATAAATCAGTACACAATGAACATTTTTGTCAATGTCTCTGAATATAGGCTAAATATTTTAGTGCGTATTCAACCGTTATATTCATTAAATAAGAGTTTGCTCACCGAACATCTTTATGAATAGAAAGATAGATAGTAAATTCACATTTAAAGGGCACCTATGTTAATTCTTTAATTTAATTTAATGAGTCTTTTGTGTCTCCAGGATGTCAGATTATTTATTATACCTTTTATAAGATGCTATTATATAGAGCTGCACGATTCTGGCTAAAATAAGAATCGCGATTTTTTTTTTTTTTTTTTTTTGCTTAAAATAAAGATCAGGATTTTCTCACGATTCTGTAGATGTAAAGGTATGGTAAAAACAAACATACGGCACAACATCCATAATAATATAAATATAATATTGAATTATTATGTTTGAGATATATGCTTGCAATCTGTCATATTAGACAAATTTATTCACTGGTAAAATCAGACATTTGCCATTATCAGATTATATTCAACAATATATAGGCTAGAGTAGTTATACTGACACTGTACACATTTATTTTCATGCACAACTGTGTGTTCGCTATGAAAGAAAACACATATCAAACGCTTGCTGTAATCATAACTCTATAATGCGCTATGATCATTTAAATGAAGTGCACACTTTCAGTTTCATTTTGACTGCTAAGCGCTTGTTCATACTTCGCGCGCGGCTCCCAAACGATCACTCTGTGCCACAATCTGAATATTATTTACAACTGTATTACCTGTTACTCACAACATGTGCAGGTTCTGTTCACTAAAGTAGACACGCACGCGTCCATCATTAAGTAGAGAGTGCGCGTCCTCTCTGTTATAACAGCTCACGGTCAGCAGCTCACGTCACATGTGATTTCCCGGCCGCGAAAACATCATTATATGAAGACAAAAATGACATTTTAGGTAAATTATACCTTATAAATACAGTATGTGACTCATTCAACATCATTTGGAGGGGTCAATGTCACTGAGCAATGTGTGTGAAACAATGAAAAGATTCGCGCAGCCGCCTTTTTTTCTCTCCTGAACTTGAAAATATGATTGACAGAATCGTAGAAATGCTGGATTAAGATCATCTAGGGGGTCGAATCGAGATCGCCATCTTTTAACGATTAATTGTGCAGCTCTATTATATTTATATTTTAGTATCAGGTAGCGGTTTTTATTGTACTGCGCCTTTAAGGCTTCACGCCCACAATTTCTACATGCATTTCTGCGTGCCTTAATCTCCTCCCTCGGCTGCGTCAGACAACAGACAGGCATAAAGGAGGCAGATCTCCTGTAACGTGTGTGAGAAATACTACAGTAAGAAGTTCACCAATGAGGATTTGATGCATTTGTTGTGGAGTTGCAACGATGAGTCACTCACAATGTCGTTACAAAGTTCACGCACACACACAGCGCAGACACACACACAGCGCAGACGGTGCGCACGTTTAGCTTTGCACTCTTTTTGCACTCAAATGTGACAGAATACAGGCTCCACTGCTGTGTGGATATCTGTTATGTTAATGTACAGAATAAACCTGATTTAACGTCCACAAACTGGGATTGAAGCGTCTTTTATAACTGTTCTGTTCTGTGCTGATGCAGTGAATCTGAAGTGAATCGCTGTACTTCATAACACACATGCTCTGATTTAAAACATGTTAAACCTGTAAAACTCACTCTCGATCACATTTGATGATGATTGATGATCCTAGCGAACTGAACAGAGCTTTTATTCCCGGTTGCTTTGCGCACGTCCTGCCTTATTGATATGATTATACACGTGACTACCGGGACATGTTATTACGCAGCTGTCAATCAATATTAGTGGGCGGGGGGACCGCACTCCTACGCCAAGTTGTGGTCAGTCTGAAAACCGCTCCAATTGGTCCACCATATGTTGTTAAATTGAAAATAAGGTCTGTGTGTGTTTATATCAGCCCAATATGACGGTTTATACACTATACCTACACTCATGTCTGTCCAAACAGCTTGAAGAGTAGATGTTTCACCATAGATGCCCTTTAAAGATAATGCATTTAAATAAATTAAACATTTAAACAGTTGTTGCAACAAAAAAAAGACAAACTACCAAATCAAATCAACTAAATAACAAATTTAGTTGATTTGATTTGGTAGTTTGTCCTTTGTTTATGTTATTTTTATATTTTTAAGGTTTCTCTTGATCTTTCCTGTTTATTAAAATGTTTTTAATGTTTCTCCCCCACATGTTCATTTGTGTGTAGTAATTTTTCGACTGATCTTCAGTTATTTTGTGAAATGAGTTCATCAGTTTTGACTAATATAATGGATATGCACAGATATATTATTGTCAAGCCATTATGAGTTTCAAATATTGATCTGTGAGGGGTGAACTCATATGCCGAGTGCTGTATATAAACTATTTTACTGTTTAATTAACATGTAAAGGGGAGCTAATTAACAATAAAGTCACATCACGCACCCCTCAGTCCAACACAAGTGCAGTAAAGTGCATCCATCATAATATAAAGTGCCCCACGCAGCTCCAGAGAGCGAATAAAGTCTGAAATAAAAGGGAACTCATGCATTTTTCATGCAATTATTCATATTTACAACTTTTTAAACCGTTCTGTGTAACTTCTGGTGAGAAACATCCGTCGTTGTCGTGTGAGGGATCTTTTATTATGTGTGGATGTGTATTATTGGACTTATTTTGGAGGAAAAACTCCAACCTGCTGTTATTTGTAAAGCAGAGGACACATTTGACTGCATTCAAGTGGATTTAGAAAGTAGTTTGAGCAGGAGTAAATCACTGGCTAATCTTTATTTGTTTTTGAGAGTGCCATTGTCAGATCTGAGATATTGATGCTGTTTATGCTAATCTTCTGCTGTTTCTGCTGCAGTTCTTTTGTCCATCTGCTCGCTGTTATGTGATCCAAACCCAGATGATCCGTTAGTGCCAGAGATAGCACGTATCTATAAAACAGACAATGAAAAGTAAGTGTGTGTGTGTGTGTTGTGTTGTGTTCATATATGTATATAAACTCATGTACAGAGCACCGGAAAGTATTGATAGCGCTTCACTTACTCCACATTTGTTTGTTACAGCCTTATTCCAAAATAGATTAAATTAATTGATTCCCTCAACATTCTACACACAATCCCCCATAATGACAAGGTGAAGAAAGCACAGGCTTTGCTCAACACTTTGTTGATGCACCTTTGTCAGTGATTACAGCCTCAAGTCTTGTTGATTATGATGCCACAAGCTCTGCTCACCTGTCTTTGGGAATTTTCACTCTTCCTCTTTGCAGCACTTCTCAAGCTCTATCAGGTTAGATGGGAAGTGACGGTGTGCAGACATTTTCAAATCTCTCCAGAGATGTTCTATAGGATTAAGGTCTGGGCTCTGGCTGGGCCACTCAAGGACATTCACTGAGTTATTGTTGTGCCACTCCATTGATATGTTGGCGGTGTGCTTTGGGTCATTGTCCTGCTGGAAGATGAAGCGTCGCCCCAGTCTGAGGTGGAGAGCACTCTTGTGCAGGTCTTCATTCAGGATGTCTCTGTACATCGCTGCATTCATCTTTCCCTCTATCCTGACTAGTCTTCCAGTTCCTGCTGCTGAAACACATCCCCACAGCATGATGCCAACACCACCATGCTTCACTGTAGGGATGCTGTTAGCCTGCTGATGAGCGCCGCCTGCTGTTCTCCAAACGTAACGCCTGGCGTTCACTCCAAACAGTTCAGTTTGAGTCTCATCAGAGCAGAGAGTTTAGTTTCTGATGCTCAGAGAGTCCTTCAGATGCCTTCTGGCAGATTCCAGGCGGGGAGTTTCTTCCGTCTGGCCGCTCTACCATACAGATGCCTGATTGGTGGATTGCTGCACAGATGGTTGTCCTTCTGTAAGGTTCTTCTCTCTCCACAGAAGAACGCTGGAGCTCAGACAGAGTATTGATCACCTCCCTGACTAAGGCTCTTCTTCCCTGATCACTCGTCTTAGATGGCTGGCCAGCTCTAGGAAGAGTCCTGGTGGTTAAACATCTTCCACTGACAGATGATGGAGGCCGCTCTGCTCATTGGAACTTTCAGAGCAGCAGAAATGTTTCTGTAAGCTTCCCCAGCCTTGTGCCTCCAGACGATCCTGTCTTGGAGGTCTACAGACAATTCCTTTGTCTTCATGCTTGGTTTGTGCTTTGACATGCACTGTCAACCCTGAGCCCTTATATAGACAGGTTTAGCCTTTTCAGATCATGTCCATCAGCTGAATTGAGCACAGGTGAACTCCAATAAGCTGCTGAAACATCTCCAGAATGATCAGTGGAGACAGAATGAACCTGAGCTCAATGTAGAGCTTCAGACAAAGGCTGTGAATTCTGATGTACATGTGATTCTTCAGCTTTTTATTTTTAATAAATGTGCAACAAGTTCAAAAACTCTTTCTTCACATTGTCATTATAGGGGATTGTGTGTAGAATGTTGAGGAAATCAATCCATTTAATTCAAATTGGAATGGGGCTGTAACTTAAAGAAATGTGGAAAAAGTGAAGCGCTGTCAATACTTCTTGAATGCTGTGCGTGCGTGTGTGCGAGACCAGAAATTTTAAAGGGAGTCGGTGGAGTTGGTGAAATAGGGTGGACCTCAGTGCCCACTCTTAAACTATGTGTAAAATAACTAGCTTCTTTATCATGGTTTCTGCAGGTTTCACAGAGTTCAATTTAAGACTTGTTTAAGATCATTATAAATGGAATTTTAGACCCATAAAGGGCTAAAGACTAAAAAATGCTTCAAATTACCCAGATGGAAAAGATTTTTATTTACCCTATCAATTTTTTTTAATTATTTAATACATTTAATAATACAATAATACATTATTATTAAATATATATATTACATTACATTATTTAGCAAAATATTTTAAATATTGTGTAAAAACAAGCAAGCTCTAGTTGTATCCACACATGTTTCTTTAAAATAAAAAAGATTAAAAAAAATCTTTTAAAAGTTTTAAAAACTATAATAAACTAAATTTATGCACAACAATCTGTCCAGGTCAGTGTCCTGAGCAGTAAATACATGGTGAACTTTTAAACAAATGTTATTGTAAGGAAAATAAGTAAACCATTATGATAAATAAAGTTAAAAATGACCTTTTTAAATAAAAAGTTTAAAGTTTTATTGAGATGATTGCTGATGATTGTTTGGGTTTTGGCCAGATTTGGTAGCAATACATGAACAAAGGAAAATCAAGACCTGTTTAGAAAAGATTTAAGACCTGCAACACAATATTTTAGTAAATTTTAGACTTTTTAAGGCCTAAAATTTGGATTTTAAGATTCAAGACATTTTAAGACCCTGCAGAAACCCTGTTTATATGATGATCTCTGATAATGTAAGATAATATTGATTTCTTGATCTCCTGATTCCATCATGGAGCTGAAAATTTAAGATGAATGGGCACTCCAGCCTTTCCCAAGGAATTCACAAAACACAGATGTCATGCAATAAAACAATACACTTTTTAGTCTGAACAGAAGATCTGCAAGTTTAACTCAGAATTCTGACTTTAAAAGCCACAATAACCTTTTTTTATGATTTAGTGGCTGAACGGGCTTCCATAACAAGCAGATCCTTTAATCCAGCAATAAATATATAATTCTAAGCCTTTTAAACTAATTCTGATAATGACCTTTTTCTTTATTAGGCTGGAAACAAAAAATAGACAAAAACTTATGACAACATTAAAGAGTGAGTGAGTGAGTGAGTGAGTGAGTGAGTGAGTGAGTGAGTGAGTGAGTGAGTGAGTGAGTGAGTGAGTGAGTGAGTGAGTGAGTGAGTGAGTGAGTGAGTGAGTGAGTAAAAGAATGGATGTATAAGTAAATAGTAAAGAATGAGTGAGAAGTAAATAAATGAATAAATAAATAAGTGAATGAATGAATAAGTGAGTCAATGGAAAATGAATGGATAAGTAAATAATGAATGAGTAAGAAATAAACAAATTAATGAGTAAGTAAATGAATGAATGAATAAGTGAGTGAATGAATGAATGAATAAATAAATAAATAAAAAATAAACGAATGAATAAGTAAATAATAAGTAATGAATAATAAATTAATGAATGAGTAAATGAATGAATAAGTGAACGAATGAATTAATAAATAAGTAAATAGATAAATGAATGAATAATTAAATAAATAAATAAAAAATAAACGAATGAATAAGTAAATAATAAGTAATGAATAATAAATAAATTAATTAAGGAATGAGTGAATGAATGAATTGATGAATAAGTAAATAGATGAATGAATGAATAAATAAATAAATAAAAAATAAACGAATGAATAAGAAATGAATAAATTAATGAATGAGTGAATGAATAAGTGAATGAATGAATTAATGAATAAGTAAATAGATGAATGAATGAATGAATGAATGAATGAATAAATAAATGAATGAACGAAAAATAAACGAATGAATAAGTAAATAATAAGTAATGAATAAGAAATAAATAAATTATTGAATGAGTAAATGAATGAATGAATAAGTGAAGGAATGAATTGATGAATAAGTAAATAGATAAATGAATGAATGAATAAATAAATAAAAAATAAACGAATGAATAAGTAAATAATAAGTAATGAATAAGAAATGAATAAATTAATGAATGAGTGAATGAATGAATAAGTGAATGAATGAATTAATGCATAAGTAAATAGATAAATGAATGAATGAATGAATGAATGAATGAATGAAAAATAAACGAATGAATAAGTAAATAATACGTAATGAATAATTAATTAATTAATGAATGAGTGAATGAATGAATAAGTGAATGAATGAATTGATGAATAAGTAAATAGATAAATGAATGAATAAATAAATAAATAAATAAAAAAAATGAATAAATAAGTAAATAATAAGTAATGAATAAATTAATGAATGAGTGAATGAATGAATAAGTGAATGAATGAATTAATGAATAAGTAAATAGATGAATGAATGAAAAATAAACGAATGAATAAGTAAATAATAAGTAATGAATAAGAAATAAATAAATTATTGAATGAGTAAATGAATGAATGAATAAGTGAAGGAATGAATTGATGAATAAGTAAATAGATAAATGAATGAATGAATAAATAAAAAATAAACGAATGAATAAGTAAATAATAAGTAATGAATAAGAAATGAATAAATTAATGAATGAATAAGTGAATGAATGAATTGATGAATAAGTAAATAGATGAATGAATGAATGAATGAATGAATAAATAAATAAATAAATAAATAAAAAATAAACGAATGAATAAGTAAATAATAAGTAACAAATAAGAAATGAATAAATTAATGAATGAATGAGTGAATGAATGAATAAGTGAATGAATGAATTAATGAATAAGTAAATAGATGAATGAATGAATGAATGAATAAATAAATAAATAAAAAATAAACGAATGAATAAGTAAATAATAAGTAATGAATAAGAAATAAATAAATTATTGAATGAGTAAATGAATGAATGAATAAGTGAAGGAAGGAATGAATGGATAAGTAAATAGATAACTAAATGAATGAATGAATAAATAAATAAATAAAAAATAAACGAATGAATAAGTAAATAATAAGTAATGAATAAGAAATTAATTAATTAATGAATGAGTGAATGAATGAATAAGTGAATGAATGAATTGATGTGTAAGTAAATAGATAAATGAATAAATAAATAAATAAAAAATAAACGAATGAATAAGTCAATTATAAGTGATGAATAAGAAATTAATAAATTAATGAATGAGTGAATGAATGAATAAGTGAATGAATGAATTAATGAATAAGTAAATAGATAAATGAATGAATAATTAAATAAATAAATAAAAAATAAACGAATGAATAAGTAAATAATAAGTAATGAATAATAAATTAATTAAGGAATGAGTGAATGAATGAATTGATGAATAAGTAAATAGATGAATGAATGAATAAATAAATAAATAAAAAATAAACGAATGAATAAGAAATGAATAAATTAATGAATGAGTGAATGAATAAGTGAATGAATGAATTAATGAATAAGTAAATAGATGAATGAATGAATGAATGAATGAATGAATGAATGAATGAATGAATGAATGAATAAATGAATGAAAAATAAACGAATGAATACGTAAATAATAAGTAATGAATAAGAAATAAATAAATTATTGAATGAGTAAATGAATGAATGAATAAGTGAAGGAATGAATTGATGAATAAGTAAATAGATAAATGAATGAATGAATAAATAAATAAAAAATAAACAAATGAATAAGTAAATAATAAGTAATGAATAAGAAATGAATAAATTAATGAATGAGTGAATGAATGAATAAGTGAATGAATGAATTAATGCATAAGTAAATAGATAAATGAATGAATGAATGAATGAAAAATAAACGAATGAATAAGTAAATAATACGTAATGAATAATTAATTAATTAATTAATTAATGAGTGAATGAATGAATAAGTGAATGAATGAATTGATGAATAAGTAAATAGATAAATGAATGAATAAATAAATAAATAAATAAAAAAAAAAATGAATAAATAAGTAAATAATAAGTAATGAATAAGAAATGAATAAATTAATGAATGAGTGAATGAATGAATAAGTGAATGAATGAATTAATGAATAAGTAAATAGATGAATGAATGAAAAATAAACGAATGAATAAGTAAATAATAAGTAATAATTAAGAAATAAATAAATTATTGAATGAGTAAATGAATGAATGAATAAGTGAAGGAATGAATTGATGAATAAGTAAATAGATAAATGAATGAATGAATAAATAAAAAATAAACGAATGAATAAGTAAATAATAAGTAATGAATAAGAAATGAATAAATTAATGAATGAATAAGTGAATGAATGAATTGATGAATAAGTAAATAGATGAATGAATGAATGAATGAATGAATAAATAAATAAATAAATAAAAAATAAACGAATGAATAAGTAAATAATAAGTAACGAATAAGAAATGAATAAATTAATGAATGAATGAGTGAATGAATGAATAAGTGAATGAATGAATTAATGAATAAGTAAATAGATGAATGAATGAATGAATGAATAAATAAATAAATAAAAAATAAACGAATGAATAAGTAAATAATAAGTAATGAATAAGAAATAAATAAATTATTGAATGAGTAAATGAATGAATGAATAAGTGAAGGAAGGAATGAATGGATAAGTAAATAGATAACTAAATGAATGAATGAATAAATAAATAAATAAAAAATAAACGAATGAATAAGTAAATAATAAGTAATGAATAATAAATTAATTAATTAATGAATGAGTGAATGAATGAATAAGTGAATGAATGAATTGATGTGTAAGTAAATAGATAAATGAATAAATAAATAAATAAAAAATAAACGAATGAATAAGTCAATTATAAGTGATGAATAAGAAATTAATAAATTAATGAATGAGTGAATGAATGAATAAGTGAATGAATGAATTAATGAATAAGTAAATCGATAAATAAATGAATGAATGAATGAATAAATAATAAACGAATGAATAAGTAAATAATAAGTAATGAATAAGAAATAAATAAATAAATTATTGAATGAGTAAATGAATGAATGAATAAGTGAAGGAATGAATTGATGAATAAGTAAATAGATAACTGAATGAATGAATGAATGAATAAATAAATAAATAAAAAACAAACGAATGAATAAGTAAATAATAAGTAATGAATAATAATTAATTAATGAATAAGTAAATTGATGAATGAATTAATAAATAAGTAAATATATAAATGAATGAATGAATGAAGGAATGAAAAATTAAATAGTAAGTAATGAATGAGAAGTAAATAAATGAGAGAGAGAGAGAGAGAGAGAGAGAGAGAGAGAGAGAGAGAGAGAGAGAGAGAGAGAGAGAATCTGCTGACTTTTATATCTCTGCTCCACTCAGGTACAACAGAATAGCTCGGGAATGGACTCAAAAATACGCCATGTGATACCAGAGGAGCCAATCTGCAGTATAGCTGGAAAAAAAATCAACTTTTCTTATTATTTTCTTCTCCTCCTTTACTTTGTTTTTGTTGTTCTTCCCTCAACGAATTGACGGATCCGGTGTAAATCCAGACCATATCAGCTCTGCTCAGTCCTCCCGACCCCATCAGCAGTCATTCAATCACACTGTAAAAACACAACGAGACCACAACATGATAAAGACCCACACTTTGTTTGGTGTTCAGAAAACGCTCGTGTCAAAGAAGCATGTTTTAACTACGAGCTCAGCCATTTTTTATTACGGTACACACAGAGTGAAACGCTTCTGACTCCCGCCACTGGCTATAGAGGTGCTATTCAAGAAGTCGATCTTTTGCTTTCATGTTTTTATATGCTTTTACAATAGCAATGAGAACTTCGGTCTGTGAAATATATATATATTCTTGCTTATAACCCGACTGTTTCTTACCAAAATCAGTCATGTCATTGTATCAGCAGTAATGGAGATAATAAAATATTTTGCATGTTAATGGAACACCGTAATTGGTCAAACAGTGAATATCTGCGAATACATGTCCACTTCTGAAATCTGGGTTTGTTACTCCTCCTCTCTCCTGTTTTGGATGTTTTTAGGACGGAGAGCTGTTAGTTCGTCTTTCCTCCTAAACACTGTTCTCTCGTTGCACTGAATATTCGTGATCGGACGCTCCCATTGGACGACCGATCAACTAATATCTCTTAATAGCTGTTCATTTTGTTTGCTCAATAAAGTTGCTGAACTATAATCGTGTCTTTCTTTATGCATATCAGCGACTGAGAGGATTATAAATGTGGACAAATCTGACATGTTCACTTTTCAACACAGATAAGGCTAGTCCTGTTTTCAATCTGGTGCTATGATGATGTGTTTGTAGCTCCGCCCTCTTCTGAAGAAGGCACAATCTCATTTGAATTTAAAGTGACAGTCACCAAAATGCCACAAATTCGGATTAAAGCCTTAAAGGGTCAGTTTCAGTGAGCTGGAGGACATTATTTGTGTGCCATTCTCAGCTCAAACTATATAGGGAGAACAGAGATGCATTTTACACATTACATCCGGGCATAACTGCTCCCCTTTAAATAAAGACTTCAATTTTATTGAATTGCTATACAATCAGCGGCCACTTTATTAGGTACACCTTACTAGTTGCTGGTTGGACTCCTTTCTTGATCCTTCATGGCGTAGATTCAACAAGCTACTGGAAATTTTCCTCAGAGATTTTGCTCCATATTGTCATGATAGCATCACACAGTTGCTGCAGATTTGTCGGCTGCACATCCATGATGCCAATCTCCCGTTCCACCACATCCCAAAGCTGCTCTATTGGATTGAGCTCTGGTGACTGTGGAGGCCATTTGAGTACAGTGAACTCATCGTCATGTTCAAGAAAGCAGTCTGAGATGATTGAGCTTTATGACATGCTGCGTTATCCTGCTGGAAGTAGCCATCAGAAGATGGAGACACTGTGCTCATAAAGGGATGGACATGGTCAGCAGCAATACTCAGGTAGGCTGTGGCGTTGATGCTCAATTGGTACTAATGGACCCAAAGAAAATCTCCCCCACACCATTACACCACCACCACCAGCCTGAACCGCTGATACAAGGCAGGATGATCCATGCTTTCATGCTGTTGAGGCCGAATTGTGAGCCGAGCATCCGAATGTGTCAGCAGAAATGGAGACTCCCCAGGTAAAAAAAAAAAAAAAGTGGACTAAAATGCACTTTATTTAGGTATACTTAGTACACTTTTCAGTAATGTACTAAAAGTGCTCTATTTTCGCACACTAATTTTGTACTTAATGTACTAAAAGATAATATTAAGTATATGTTAAGATAAACTTCATACCATCTAAGTGTACTCAACTGTGCTATTTTGAGACACCCTGAAATTGAACTAAAATGTGCTTTTAACATTCTATATCTGTATTTTAAAAAAATATATATTTAGTTACAACTAGAAATACACTTGAACCCTTCTTTTAAACATATAAATATATTTATGACTATTTTAAAGTATAATAGTAATATATTAAAATAATATACAAATTGTATAAAAGTGTGCTAAATACTGTATTAAAAGTGCTCGATTTTCCCAAACTAATTTTGTATTTAATGTACTTAAAATTAGTATTAAGCACTTTTTAAGATAAACATAAGTACATCTAAGTGTACTCAACTGTGCTATTATGAGACACCATGAAGCTGATCTAGAATGTGCTTTTAACATAATAAACATTTATTTAAAGAATATATTTTGAAGGGATTCTGTGTGTAGAAAGAAAACAGCATCTGTGCTTCATCAAAACACTTCAATCTTTTTGTGCAATAAACCACAAGTGCAAAAATACCTTATGGGAGGAACAAAAACTGAGAACACACAAATATAAATAAGATGCAACATTACAGCACATATCTGAAATGTAAAGACATTTTGGGAAAATGTACTTCTACTACAAAACATTACTAATAGATTTTTAATAAAGTCAATTTAATATAAACTTAAAATTACCACACTCAAAATCAGTTTAAGTGTTAGAGATAATAATGCATTCACATTAAGTGTACTTAAGTACAACTTTTGGGAAAATGTACTTTACTACAATACATTACTAATAGATTTTTTATATATTAACTTATTTTAAGCTTAGGATTAGTATGTAAACACTGTACTAAAAATCAACTCATGTTTAAAGCACACTTTTGAAAAACACACTAATAAAACTCTTCTGGATGTTTTTTCTGTAGTGTACTTTATTGTAGTACACTAAACATTTATTTAAGTATTACTGGTATTTAGTATACTTTTGTCAAGTGTACTAAACTCCTACTGAAGTATAAACATACTTTTAATCAGGATATTTATAGTGTAAAACCATCAAACTATTATTTAACACAAAAAAAATAACAATGTACTAAAAATGTATTTGCGGGTATTTAAGTGTATTTTAGTTGCATTTAATTATATATTCTTTTCACCTGGGCATCAGAGCAGCAACGTTTCTCCAATCTTCTATTGTCCAGTTTTGGTGAGTCTGTGTGAATTGTAGCCTCAGTTTCCTGTTCTTAGCTGACAGGAGCGGCACCCGGTGTGCTCTTCTGCTGCTGTATCTTTATACAACCAGTTTAGACAACCTGATTTCATATTCAAGGTGTGAATTGTACATTGAGGATCAGGGGGGTCAAATTTTCCGGTAATGTTAGTTTCTGTATTTTTAATTACAGTACATTTAATCTTTAAATCAAACTTGTTTTCAGTGTTTTGATGGATATTGAGTGGTCCTCATTGACATTAGTGATAATTAACAAAAGTTGATAAGTTTGCATTCCTGTACTGTACCAATAGAGGAATTACCAACCTACGTCACACATGACGTCACGCGGGTTCCCGGTTGCAAAAAAAAGAGCGTTTGCAATAGCAAATGTGGTGTTGTGCGGTAGGATGCCAAATTCGAAACTTAATTGAAACTCAAATTAGAAACTGATTTGATAAAACGTAACTTTTAGCGTACACCACACTGCTTTAATGCCAACTGCAGACATCTTTGGCTAAAAGGGAGCTGAATGGAGTGAGGAGCTAATTAATAATGCTGGACTCTGCAGTGCTCATGTTATATCAGGTAAGTTCCTGCTATGCTGAATCAGACACACCACTGGTTTCTGATTGCTGCTATGATTTCAGCAAACACAGTTCAATATGGTGAATGAAACTGCGGACACGGAATGCTCCGAATGAAATGTAAACGTGTGCTCATATCCCAGCTGGAAAATCCAGCTTAAACAAGCCTAGGATGGTTGGCTGGTTTTAGCTGGTCGACCAGTCTGGTTTTAGAGGGGTTTTGGCCACTTCTAGGCTGGTTTCCAGCCTGGTTTTAGCTAGACAGGCTGGGAGCCCAGCCAAAACCAGCTATGTCCAGCTTAAACCAGGATGGTCAAACTGGTTTTAGCTGGTCATTTTCCAGCCTGACCAGCTAGGACCAAGCTGGAAATGGCTGGAAACCAGCCTGGAAATGGCCAAAACCCCTCTAAAACCAGGCTGGTCAACCAGCTAAAGCCAGCCAACCTGCTAGGATGGTTTAAACTGGATTTTTCAGCAGGGATACCCCGCCGTACAGGTGTAGTTCACTGTCAGAATGCAGTAGTTCTGCTTGTTGATGATGACCCAGGTCTTGTACAGCTCCGTCTTCTTTCCTTGTCTTTAGCTAGGCAGAACTTCGGTTTTTAGCACTACATGGTGTTGAATCTGGTCATCATGGAGCATCATTTCCTGCACATGACCACACAGAACAGCATTGTTGGCCTCTTGTAAACTTCTCTCTTGTAAAACCGCTTGGAGCTTCAGTGAGATTGTATATTTGGGACTGGATGATTGGCCATTTCGCCTTCTCCAATATCCATTGGGACAGTGCTATCGCAAATGGACCTGTCAGATAATCGCCACTCGCTTTAACGTTAATTTTGCTGAATCAGCATTATGTCAATAATATACCCGACTGAAAAAAACCAGCTTAAACCAGCCTAGCCAAAACAAGCTATGTCCAGCTTAAACAAGGCTGGTTTTAGCTGGGTTTAGATGGTCATTTTCCAGCCTGACCAGTTAAGACCAGGCTGGAAATGGCTTAAAACCAGCTTGGAAATGGCCAAAACTGCTTTAAAACCAGCCAACCAGCCTAGGCTGCTTGAGGCTGGATTTTTCAGCAGGGTATATATAATATGTCATCAATATAACTTGTCTCTAATACAGAAACAAACTCTGTACCGCATCGAATGTCATTCCCTTACTGTAAATGCTAGCGCTTTCTTCTGCAACACCTCTGCGAGCGCATCCTGAATGTTTACAAACCGGTAATTCATCTATAGAGTATGCACACCTAGTGTTTTTCCCCTCCCGGTGAACAGTTAATGTGACTTTTTTTCAATTTTCATACGATTCCTTTTACAGCATGGATGTTGTGATGTAATTAAAATATAATCAGCCTAACAGACTTAAGTATATCCTACTGAAAAAAAAACAGCTTAAACCAGCCTAGGCTGGTTGGCTGGTTTTAGAGGGGTTTTGGCCATTTCCAGGCTGGTTTCCCGCCACTTTCAACCTGGTCTTAGCTGGTCAGGCTGGGAGATTACCAGCTAAGACCAGCTTGACCATCCTAGCCCGGCTGGGAGCCCAGCTAAAACCAACTATGTCTAGCTTAAACCAGGCTGGTCAAGCTGGTTTTAGCTGGTCATTTTCCAGCCAGACCAGCTAAAACCAGGCTGGAAATGGCAGGAAATCAGCCTGGAAATGGCCAAAACCCCTCTAAAACCAGCCTGGTCAACCAGCTAAAACCAGCCAACCAGCCTTGGCTGGTTTAAGCTGGATTTTTCAGCATGGAGCTGTTCAAGTGTAAAACTATATAAAATGGCTTTTACACACACCTGTCAATATATACAACTTTATAATGTATAAAGTAAAATTCACAGTTTTTTTTTTAAGAAAACAGACCATAACCGCGCCGATTTTGTAACGGCATACTGTTCACCGGAAGCGATTTAACAAGGTTACTGAAAATTAAGAGTCCTTCTGATGACCATGAAAGGCTGCGGTTATAATTATTTACTGTTTAACTTCCATATGGCAGCAGGTGTATAATAAAACACAAGCTATGCGATTATTTTTATGTTACTTTTAGGCTATAAGACAAATGTTTTGTGAACACACAGTGCTGTAAACTTGCCGGAATCAAACTGCTGAATTAACATTTTTGGCGCGAGTATGGATTTGCAATAGCGTGAACAGTTACGGGGGAGGTCAAATAAAGTTATTTATTATTTTCATTATGTATATTTATTAAGATACAGATCAGAGGAAACTATTTGTGAAGTCAACAAATCTTATACAATATGAGCTAACAAAACCAAGTTTTAACACTCAAGTGTTAATAACCCTGAGTAGTCAGACCACCCCAACCCCCCTTGTAATTCGCACCCTGTTCATATTTAAAAGCAATATTTGATACCAAGTTCCAGCAAGAGCCACAAAGGGTCGCCAAAGGACGTGATTGAGCGCAGGGCACGTTAAACATGAGGAGTGACGTCACAGGGAATTTCCAGTAAGGAAGTCAAGCTGTCTATTCAAACCTCGCGTTGATCTCGACATGATTTACTGCGATCTTTCGCGACAGGCGATTAAAACGCATTAATGCATTAAATGCTGGAGCTCCTCCGTCTCTCTCGCCACCCGCCGACATTAGCGATCCAACATGGAGGAATAAGTTGAAAAGTCAGCCTCAGATCCGTGTGTTTGGCGCTGGGCAGCAAAGGTAAGCTGTTCTCAGATCAGTTCAGCCATGCTTGTGTCCGTGTTGCCATCTAAAGCTTGTTGTGATCGTTTGTGTACAACTTCCTTCTTCTGCCTTCAGGCCAAAGACACTGTTCGGACTTTAGATGAACTCTTGTGGTGAGTGTGAAGTGCTATTCTGCTGTTAATTGCTGTGTAAACATGAATGAGTTTGAGAAGAAAGACCCATTTGATCATGTTAAAGTTCTGGATCTGAATCGAGTGTCTGTTTGCGAATCGATTCGAACATCCGGAACTGAGGTAACTTAACGTTAAATACCTGCGACTCTTCCAAACGATTCATCAGAGAGATAACGTTAGATTAGAGCAGATTTACTGAACGAATGATGGATTTAGACTGTTTTCCTTCAGTGTTTGGGATTTGGATGAAGTCTGATATGATAAAGTTCTGGATCTGAATCGGTTTAAACATCCGGAGCTGAAGTAACGTTAAATACCTGCTGTTCGAACAGCGACTATTCCAGACGATTCTTCGGGGAGAATGATTAGTGTAACGTTAGATTTACTGAATGAATTATTGATTTAAGCTGTTTTCCTTCAATGTTTGAGTGGTGTAATGTACGTTAGTGGTGTTTAGGATTTTGATTCATTTAGTTCACACGAATGTTTCGTGTACTGATTCATTTCACGAAAGCTCCACATAAATGAATACTACACGTTACTGTAGTAATCAGGCCTAATTTGTACAATACTATAGAATGACAATTGATATACGCGTTTGGTGAACTGTTGTCTGTCTTTTCGTCTGTAAACATGAAGCTTGAGAAGAAAGACTGATTTGAAGTAATTCTGGATCTGAATCAGGTGTTTGTTTGTGAATCGGTTTGAGCGCCCGGAGCTGAAGTAACGTTAAAAACCCGCGACTCTTCCAAACAGTTCATCTGAGAGATAGATTAGTGTAGATTTACTGAATAAATTATTATTATGATCATTTTGATGTAAGTGTGTGGTGAAGTGTTATCTGTTTGTTTATTCGTCTGTAAACATAAAGGAGTTTGAGAAGAAAGACTGAGTTGATAAAGTTCTGGATCTGAATCGAGTGTTTGTGAATTGGTTTGATCATCCAGAGCTGAAGTAACGTTAATTACCTGCTGTTCGAACAGCGACTCTTCCAAACGATTCCACTGGAAGATTAGTGTGAATGTACAAAATGAATGATTTAGCCTGTAATAAATAAGCATTTCCTTCAGTGTTTGAGAGGTGTAATATAGTGGTGTTTGGGATTTTGATTTATTTTATTCACTCAAATGTTTTGAGTATTGATTTCCCTGCTAAAAAATCCAGCTTAAACCAGGCTAGGCTGGTTTTAGCTGGTCAACCAGGTTGGTTTTAGAGGGGTTTTGGCCATTTCAGGCTGGTTTCCAGCCATTTCCAGCCTGGTCTTAGCTGGTGAGGCTGGGAGATGACCAGTTAAAACCAGCTTGACCAGCCTACCCAGGCTGGGAGCCCAGCTAAAACAAGCTATGTCCAGCTTAAACCAGGCTGGTCTAGCTGGTTTTAGCTGGTCATTTTCCAGCCTGACCAGCTAAGACCAGGCCGGAAATGGCTGGAAACCAGCCTGGAAATGGCATAAACCCCTCTAAAACCAGCCTGGTTGACCAGTTAAAACCAGCCAACTAGCCTAGGCTGGTTTAAGCTGTTTTTTCAGTAGGGTTGTTCAGATTCATTTAATGATAGCTCCAAAAGAGTACTGTACTAGGCCTAATTTATAGTCATTTATAGTAGTTGTAAGTTTGTTTCTGACTTATCTTTCTCAGAGTTTAAGTATCTCAAAGTTGAGCTTTAATTTTCCCAAAAACTCCACATGAAAGAAAACTGTAGTATGCCTAATTTATAGTAGATAGGGTAGTGTTTTTGAACGATACTGTAGTGTGACATTTGCTGAATTTTTGTGTGTGGAGTGTTATTCGGCAGTTTATTAATCTGTAAACGTTAATGAGTTTGAGAAGAAAGACTGATTTGATAAAGTTCTGGATCTGAATCGAGTGTTTGTTTGTGAATCGGTTCAACATCCGGAGCTGAAGTAACGATAAATACCTGCAGTTCGAACAGCAACTCTTTCACTGAACTAACGCTCTGCAAATGGCAACAAAACAATTCATTTTCATTTACAAGACATTATAAGGATATAAAACTATAGCAAAAACATACATATAGTAAAGTGTAGAGCTGCAGGATTCTGGCTAAAATAAGAATCACGAGTTTTATTTTTTTTTGCTCAAAATAAAGATCAGGATTTTCTCACGATTCTGTAGGTGTATAATAAAGGTATGGTAAAAACAAACATATGGCACAACATCCATAATAATATTATGTGTAGGTCTACTGGCTGCTATAAATAATTCTACTTATATTAAATCTGATGTTGAATTGTTATGTTTGAGATATTTGCTTGCAATCTGTCATATTAGACAATTTAATTCACTGGTAAAATCAGACATTTGCCATTATCAGATTATATTCAACAATATATAGGCTAGAGTAGTTATACTGACACTGTACACATTTATTTTCATGCACAACTGTGTGTTCGCTATGAAAGAAAACACATATTAAACGCTTGCTGTAATCATAACTCTATAATGTGATATGATCATTTAAATGAAGTGCACACTTTCAGTTTCATTTTGACTGCTAAGCGCTTGTTCATACTTCGCGCACGGCTCCTAGACGATCACTCTGTGCCACAATCTGAATATTATTTACAACTGTATTACCTGTTACTCACAACATGTGCAGGTTCTGTTCACTATGGTAGACGGGCGCGTGTTTATCATTAAGTAGAGAGCGCGCGTCCTCTCTGTTATAACAGCTCATGGTCAGCAGCTCACGTCACGTGTGATTTCCCGGCCGCGAAAACATCATATGAAGACAAAAATGACATTTTAGGTGAATTATACCTTATAAATACAGTATGTGACTCATTCAACATCATTTGGAGGTGTCAATGTCACTGAGCAACGTGTGTGAAACAATGAAAAGATTCGCGCAGCCGCCTTTTCCTCTCTCCTGAACTTGAAAATATGATTGGCAGAATCGTAGAAATGCTGGATTAAGATCGTCAAGGGGGTCGAATCGAGATTGCCATCCTTTAACGATTAATTGTGCCGTTCTAGTAAAGTGTATTAGTATATACAAATACAACACTTTGTTAATGGATGCTACAGCATACATGATTGATAAACTGTAATGCTGAATTTAAGTTTTGTACTACAGTAAACTTGTGTATTATAGTACAAAAATTATAGCTGTAGAAACTTGGTACAGTATTGGGTAATTTCTTTACATTGCTATATAGTTGTTGTGTTACCATATAACTATACTAATCTACAGCAAGAACTTCCCTCTAGTTTGTCTACCATAGTATTTTAAGTTTGTTTTAAACATTTAAGTAGGTACTGCTATAGTATTTTATTTATTTATTTTTTGATGACTGACACGCATATTTATTAAAAGGAGAAGGAAAACTCATTTATGAATATTTTGATGATAAAGCAGTTTAATAGACCGTATGTTTGATTAGAAAACGTTTATTTAGTAAATAGTTTAATTCACTTCATGTCTATTTATATAGCGCTATTCACAAATTAGATTGTGTCAAAGCAGCTTCACAGAGTTCTAGTAAAGTCCAAATTTCAGAGTGGAAGTTCAGTGTGGTTTACATTTCACCTCTGAAAGTCCAAATACTGAAGAGCAAATCCACCGAAGCTCCACAAGTCCCGATCCGAGCAAGCAAGTGGAGAAAAAAAAAACTTCACCAATTGACCAAAGTGAAACTGAAAAAAAGGCAGGGGCTCGTTTGTCACTAATCAGTCTCATGCACTCCATTCCTCCATAACCACCACAGTATCAGCTCAGGATACGGCCTGGTCCAGGATTATTGACGATAATTTAAGGGAAATGTTTAACAAGGTTTCTTCTGGAGGAATTGTACAATATTTATTAGAGGTGTGAAACTATACTGGTCTCACGGTTCGGTTACGATTATCATGCCATCGATTCGGTTCAATCCGATATCTCGGTGCATCACGGTGCATTGACGATGCTTTCCATATATAGTGTTATATTTTAGGGGGGAGGCTATAACATGCTGTCTGTATAAACACACAGACACACAGCAACACACTGTCTCTCATTCAAACACATTAACAAACATAGACAGCATCAAACAAACAAACACACACGCGCGCACACACACAAACAAACACACTTAAACCCTTGCAACAGGGAGAGCTCCCGCTGAGTGGAGCAGAAAAACCAAAAAAAACGAAAAAAATAAGCACTTTTCCGACAGTCCCTTACTGAGAGCTCCTCTCAGCGCGAGCTCTGTCGGCTAAAGTAAACGCAGACTGCGAGGGCTTAAACGGAGCAGTGCTCGTAATGTCGAGCGAAAAAAAGAAAGACAGCTGTGAAACATAACCAGCTTTGTCTTTCTGTAGGAAACACACTTTAGATCTTTTTAGGGTAAGAGGTTTTTGAGTTATTGCCATCTATAACTGAAAGTGTGTCAGGAAAATCGAAAACGAAACCAACTGAAGCGCGCTCATTTCTGGCGCCCCACTGGATATACAGCGCCCTAAGCATTTGCCTATGGTGCCTATGCCACGGGCCGGCCCTGAGTTGACTGAGTGTTGTAAATACCGGCGCTCACCTCCCTCACGACAGAGCGCATAGGAGATAAATGACGTCACTACATAATAACCGGTTATGGTTATTACTGAACCGATACCGAATTGTCCGCGTCTGCATCGCGGTGCACCAAAGAAACAATTAATTTTGACACCCCTAATATTTATCATTGATCCTTTTATCAGTGGTGTTGTTATTTCTGTTCGTTTTGTACAGTGTATGATTGAGAAACGGTTATGATTGTAAATTTTGTACTTAATATTTTGTACAAGTGTTATCAGGAATATAATCAATACTGTTTACATGGCATGAAAACATTAATAAATGAATATTATTTTTTCACCTACACTTCTCAGTTCTGTTTTCACACAAAGTTGTTTTTTATTTTTTTAAAACCAATTAACATTAATTATTTTATTTGTAAAATTAATAAATCCATGTCTGCATTTTAAATATCATGGGCTCTATTTTAACGATCTAGGCGCAACAGCATTAAGGACGTATTTGAATTTACTTTTGCTATTTTAAGGACGGAAAAATCCGCTCTGCGCATGGCGCATGGTCTAACAGATTTGAGCTTATTCACCTAATGAGTTAAAGGTGTGCTTTGAGAATAACCCAATCAGAGTCTCATCTCTTATTCCTTTTAAGAGTCAGTTGCGTCGCGCTGGTGCTTTTTACATGGCGGCTCTGTAAGTGTAAAAACTGAACGCTTCACTAGCGCGAAAACAGTTAAACAGAGCATCTGCAGCGTGAGAATAAAGAACGAGCCTCCTTATTTTTTACTTTCACTCTCTTTCGTGAAACTTGTAATTTCAGTTCTAATCTCCAGCAAATTAATAAATCAATAATAATAACGAAGTGTGCTCAAAAACCTGACACACACGCTGTGCCCCATATGGTCTAAAACCTGACAGGTGGACAAATCTAAGCTTGTTTTTAATAAAGCAAATATAAATCTGCAGAAAATAAATAATACTGCTAATAATAATAAGCAAATTGTCATGAATGAACTGAAAAGCCCTCCCGAGATGAAGAAGGCATGAAGACAGTGGTGTTTATAATGATGTAAAAAATAATAATTTTTTAAATATTTAAATCCTTTAATTCTTTTTCATTTGTAAAGACATTTGTGTATTGCTTCACATCCTGTGCGTAACGCGCTCTGCTTTGGTCTTTAGACCTGCTCTCTCAGCCGGTCTACTGCTCAGTAGGGTTGGGCGATGTTGACCAATTTGGCATCGTACGATGTCTAATGTGAAACATCGCGATGGACGATGCCATCGTCGTTGTAGGCGGGGGGTGGGGGTGGTTGTTAAATATCAATTAATTCATAAAGCATTAATTAATTGTAGCCTATCGTTTTCACTACCTGACCCACATGGTCTTTGCTTTACCCATAACCAAACCATAAATAAAGAAAGTTACAAACAAATCACCACCTGTCAATCACGTTTTCCGCTTGTCTCTTGCATGAATAGGCAGTGATCTGTGCATTCTAATGGCTTTTCCCACAGCTGCTGGAGGAGACGAGAGTTCGGTTGGAGATTTGAAAGACGCCGGCGCTTCTTTGTACTGTTGCCTCAGCCTTACTTCACTGCTGCTCGCAATGTTAAAGTGTGGAATGAAGGTCAAGCACCCCCTAACTTTAGAGCACAGTGATTGGATATTTACTCGCGGGGAGGAGTTTCCTCATCTCAGATCATGGACTTGCAGGGGAGATATAAGAGGCACCTAAATTATTTAAACGCAAAACTGAGAAAACCGCAATTCCCAAGCGCATATTGAGCTGTGGAGGTCGTACCGTACGGTTCAATATTTTATTGAGAACCGTGGCATCCCTAGTTCTTTCACACAATGGTATAAGCTGCGGCATGTTTGGTGTGTGTGTGTAAACAGTTAGGCCCCGCCTACTTTGTTTGATCGGCTGTCACTTTGACGGCCTGAATTTAAATGTGAATTAATTAGTTGTTTTCTGTGCAGGAATCATGGCTGGCGAGGACCCATACGTCACGGTGAGCAATGCTTTTATACTGCATTTGGAAATTATTTAACTTTTAAAGGAGTCCTATTATGCAGAAAATGTGTGTATCAGCAGTGTGTGAGAATCTCCAGCAGCCTCTAATGGTCAACGTGAACTAACTGTGTTTGATCTAATCAGACTTGATGAATGAGACACTTTGATTGACATTCTCCCTTTGTACAAGTCCTCAGAGGGGAAAGCCCCGCCCACTAGTGCCCATCTCTCCATCTCATTAGCATAACCAGCAGCCCTGAGTGAGAAGCAGCCGTCTGTCCATTAGCCATCAGAGCTGCTGAAGATCAGCATAGACTAAGAGGATTATAGATGTGGAGTTTTAGATGAAGCACAAATGAACAGCGGAGTCTGTTTTCAATCGGATGCACTGGAGTTTGTAGCTCCGCCCACTTCTTAAAAGAGCACAATCTCATTTGCATTTAAAGCGACAGTCACCAAAACACCACAATGAGGATCAAAGCCTGAAAGGGTCAGATTCAGAAGATTGTCTGTGTGCTATTCTCAGCTCAAACTCAAACACACACACTCCAGAGACGCATGCATTTTACATCTTGTATAAATAAGCATAATGGGTCTCCTTTAATTATCTTCCATATTTCATCATCTAGTCTTTTCTCTTATGCATCATCCATTGTAAGATCAGGAAGTCAGTGTCTTCATTACCGATTTTTAGCTCCACTTTTGGCTTGCCTCAACATTTATTTATGAAAATATTGATTACACACACCACTGATAATAACAGACACAGCATGAAGCTCGAGTCTTGTAATTATCTCTCAGGTTGAACAGGTATCTTGTGTTGTTTGAAGGCATGATTATATGATTAAAGCATATTAATTTGTGTAAATACCGCCGAATCTCACCGGAGGTGTCTCTAAGAAAGCCGAGGAGGTTTTCCTTTTTCCTGCCTCTGTGGTTTTGATATTTCACCCTTCACACAGCAGCAAATCAAGCTGTGCTTTAGAGTTTATCAGTTTAATATCCTCACATAAAGATCGTATTACTGTCTGCTTTCAGTATCATCAGTGCAAATAATCTGCCTCTTAATTATGTTTTTAAGCATGTTTAAATTAATCACATCCAAAATAAAAGTTTGTGTAGGCATTATATATGTGTGTGCTGTGTACATATATAAATGCATGCATGCATATATTTAAGAAAATGTCTATGTAAATCTAAGATAAATATGTATATGATACAAATTTAAATATCTCTGTAACAAATTTGATTTGTGTTTGTGTGTCATATGTACATAATAAATCTATGTAACACACATACACTCAGTGGCCACTTTATTAGGTACACCTCACTAGTACCAGGTTGGACCCCTTTTGCCTTCAGAACTGCTTTAATCCTTCATGGCGTAGATTTAACAAGCTGCTGGAAATATTCCTCAGAGATTTTGCTCCATATTGTCATGATAGCATCACACAGTTGCTGCAGATTTGTCGGCTGCACATCCATGATGCCAATCTCCCGTTCCACCACATCCCAAAGCTGCTCTATTGGATTGAGCTCTGGTGACTGTGGAGGCCATTTGAGTGCAGTGAACTCATCGTCATGTTCAAGAAACCAGTCTGAGATGATTGAGCTTTATGACATGCTGCGTTATCCTGCTGGAAGTAGCCATCAGAAGATGGAGACACTGTGCTCATAAAGGGATGGACATGGTCAGCAGCAATACTCAGGTAGGCTGTGGCGTTGATGCTCAATTGGTACTAATGGACCCAAAGAAAATCTCCCCCACACCATTACACCACCACCACCAGCCTGAACCGCTGATACAAGGCAGGATGATCCATGCTTTCATGTTGTTGAGGCCAAATTGTGAGCCGAGCATCTGAATGTGTCAGCAGAAATGGAGACTCATCAGAGCAGCAACGTTTCTCCAATCTTCTATTGTCCAGTTTTGGTGAGTCTGTGTGAATTGTAGCCTCAGTTTCCTGTTCTTAGCTGACAGGAGCGGCACCCGGTGTGCTCTTCTGCTGCTGTAGCCCATCCGCCTCAAGGTTGGACGTGTTGTGTGTTCAGAGATGCTCTTCTGCAGAGCTCGGTTGTAACGAGTGCTTATTTGAGTTACTGTTGCCTTTCTATCAGCTGGAACCAGTCTGGCCATTCTCCTCTGACCTCTGGCCTCATCAACAAGGCATTTGCGCCCACAGAACTGCCGCTCACTGGATATTTCCTCTTTGTCGGAGCATTCTCTGTAAAGCCTAGAGATGGTTGTGCATGAAAATCACAGTAGATCAGCAGTTTCTGAAATACTCAGAGCAGCCCGTCTGGCAGCAACAACCATGCCACGTTCAAAGTCACTTAAATCCCCTTTCTTCCCCATTCTGATGCTCGCTCTGAACTGCTGCAGATCATCTTGACCATGTCTACATACCTAAATGCATTGAGCTGCAGCATGTGATTGGCTGATTAGAAATTTGCAATAACAAGCAGTTAGGCAGGTGTACCTAATAAAGTGGCCGGTGAGTGCATATTATGTTAAAACAAACTTTTAATTTGGATGCGATTAATCACAATTATTTAATTTGTGCCCAGCTCTAGAGTTTACATAACATGTATAATGCAAAAGTGCTGTGAATATTAGGATATTCCTTTTTTTTACAGTTAGCAAGAGATTATTGGTGAATTAAATTGCGATTACTCAGTACAATATCAATGATTAATGATGAAATAAAAACAAACTTCTCCAGAAATGATGGATGAGTAAATAAATAATGTAAGTAGATTTAGCTTTTGTTTTCGTCAATTTCAGCGGTGCCCAAACTGTATTACATTAAAGTATCCTTGGTAACTTCCTAATTTAGCAATATTAAAAAATGCTTTAACTGTGTTAATTTTATATATTTGACATTTTATTATTAATTATTACAATAAAACCACAAACAATATCATTTATGATACAAAGAATATATATATTAGTCAACATCTAAAATTAAATGTGTTGTAGGGTTTCATGAACTTTTAAAAATCTGATTAATTCATATTTAATTTAAACATTTCAGTTCAGTTTTGCTTTAAGGTTGTATAAAATGAGAAATGATGACCTCTGTTTGAGGGATTCGCCCCAAACTTTCTCATCTTATGTCCATCTCTTCTCTGATTGGTTGGCGGGCCAAATTAAAGATTACCATGGGCTCACTTTGCCCTGTGGGCCTTAGTTTGGGAACTCATTCATTCGTTCATTCATTTTCTTTTGGGCTTAGTCCCTTTATTAATCAGGGGTCGCCACAGTGGAATGAACCGCCAACTTATCCAGCAAATGTTTTACACCACGGATGCCCTTCCAGCTGTAACCCAGTACTTGGAAACACCCATACACACTTATTTACACTCACTCATACACTACAGACAATTTAGTTGATCAGTTCCCCTATAGCACGAGTGTTTGGACTGTGGGGGAAACCGGAGCACCTGGAGGAAACCCAAACCAACACGGGAAGAACATGCAAACTCCACACAGAAACACCAACTGACCCAGTCGGGGCCACAGCGCTAATTTAATTGAATTAATTTTTTCAATTCTATTTTTTTCAGTGACTGTTGCTTAGTTTTAGTTAGTTTTTTCATTTTAATTTAAACTAAAGTAACTAATTTAAATAATACATTTTTAATCAACTCAATAAAAAGTATATATTTAAAGAGCCCATATTATGGGTTTTTGAAAATTCCCCTCCATGTAGTGTGTAACACAGCTCTAAGTGAAGTGAAGTATCCAGCTAAGGCTTAAATCTGTAAGAATACAGTGTTTAAAACTGTTGATTCATCTATAAAAGAGTCGAATCATAGTGCTTCAAACGAGTCGCCTTGATACCGACTCATTAGGTGTTTCGCCATGACGTACGAACGAAACAAAGTTTTTCACGTGCACGCGCAAACCCGGGAGATTTCAAACCTGAGGCCCCGCCCTCTGACGCAGTAACCCAGACACACACACACACACCCACAAACACACGCACACCCACAAACACACGCACACAAACATGCCGGTCGATTGAAGTCACACTGCAGATGGATATATTGAGTCTCTACCCAAAGATGAAACATCAGCATTATAACCAAGCAGTTGGAAACTTCTGGAAGCTACATGCTACAAAGAATACTTCATCTGAGTTTGTTAAAGGAAGGATCAGTAAAGAGTAACTGATGGACGTCAGGATGGGTTTCTTCCTACATTTCTCAAGTGTAAGTACGTGCGGTTAAAGTTGCCTCGTTGACTCTAGCTTGCAAATGTATTTAGTTGTGATTTGTTACTTGTAACCGCGTGTACTGTATCAGGTTAACTGGATATTTGATCTTATCGCGTGCAAAGTCACGTTAAAAACGCGACGCGTGCTGTTTGTTTATGGAGCTCCGTGCTAGAGTTCTGCTCCCGCGATTTATTCGGAAATGTATTCCCGCGCCGCAGAAATCTGGCGCGGGGAGAGAGAGGGAGAGAGAGAGAGAGAGAGAGAGCGAGAGAGAGAGCGAACGAACGAACGAGCTTTGTGTACTTTGTGCTTTGTGCAGCTTGGCTGTCTGGACTGTATACTGGGTGATATTTGGTTGTGTTCTCCGCTCTATCGGGACCGGGCGCGGCGGGCAGAAAACGGAGCGGGTTCTCAGGCTAAAACCTGGCGGGTGCGGGCTGAAGCGGGAGCGTTGTCATCCGGAGGTGTGTGTGTGTTTTTGTGTGTGTGTGGTATGGCGAGTACACGACTGTCTCCTTCGTTCGGTTATCCGTGGCACTATCCACTCGCCATAGTGTGGCAGCTAAAGTCCACGCCTACACTATCGTGCGTGTATGAACTGTGATTACTTTTTAAATTGCTGATTAGCTATTGGCCATTTCCCTCTCTGACTGAAGGCAGTCGACCAATCGCGACAGACTGTCATCGGCCCAATCAGCGCAGATTAGCTTCGCGCTAAGGAGGGGTTTGGGAACAAATGAATCACTGGACGATTCATACAGGAGTCGCTGGGATAATTAGATAAAAATAAATGCAGATTATAAGACCATGAAAGTGTTTTTTGACCTTGCATGCATATTAGACTGTTGTTGGAGACCCTTACAACCAAGATATGACCTTATTTCATGTATAATATGGGCTCTTTAATTAAATAAAACCTTCATTAAAACAGATTTTTAATCAATAGTTTTAGTGGACTAATACAAGCTTGCAGTGAAGTCATGTGTGTTGTTTTTATTCTCTCTCTCTGTAGTATTTGGACAGCAATGACCCGTTTCAAGACACCATATGGATGAACACCATGGACCCCACAACCTTTCCAGCCATCCACAACAATAACATCATGAGAACAGGTAAGAGCTCTAATGATTCATGTACACGGACTAGTAAACAGTTTGTGCGCTGGGTTTTAAGAAGAATGTGTTAAATTACAAAAAACTACATTTAAGGTCTTAAAAAGTCTGTGTAAATCTAAGATTTAGATTTTAATGCTCTGAAAAGGAGTCTTCAGTTCTTAAATTTGACTGCATGAAACCTGCAGAAACCCTGAGTACAGTACAGTATGCATGTATTTCCATGTCCACTGTCAGAGGTTGTGAATGGCACAGAAATAGCAAACTGTATCCTATAATAAACTAAGATAAGCACACACACACACACACACACACACACAATGGTAAACTAACCGAGACTTGTCCAGCATCAGCATATTGTTGCTTCTCTGCTGATTTGGATAGCAGCGTGTGCTAAATGAATAAATGTAAATGTGATGCAATACGAGTATGTGCTGCAGGAGCAGATCTGTTTCCCCATGCACTGCTCACTTCCTCATTAAATATCATAAACCCATCCGCACGCCTTCATGTGGTGGAATGAGAAACCCTCTATCAGATAAGCACAGTTCGGGGCTCGTTTGAATAGAAATTCACTTTTTAAAGGGATAGTTCACCCAAAATGTGTAATCTGTCATCATGTTGAACACTGAAGAAGATATTTTGAGAAATGTTGGAGACCTGTAACCATTGTCTCCCATAGTTTTTCCTACTATTGTAACTAAAGGTCAGGGTGACAACGGAGGTAAGGGTCCAAATGCAGTTTATGAACTCTGAGTCAGGCAATGGTCAGGCAGGAGCAAACAGAATCCGAAAGCGTAGTCGTGTTACAGCCAAATAGTCGATACAGGCGGCAAAACAACATCAATAATAGACAATGCAAGGCTCGAAAGCACGGCAAGACTGCTAGACAAGGGAACACGAAGGCCCTGTTTACACTGTTAGGTCTTGATGCCCAATTCTGATTGGTTGCCTCTATCTGATTTGTTTGCTTGTCTGTTTACATGTTCTTTTAATTGTGACCCATTTCTGATTCATGTGTTTACACTTGCCATACTATTTACGATGTCTCGCATGCATAACGGTGGGTTCTAGCATCTGCGCCACACTAGCAACGATGGAAGAAATTGTCTTGCTTTTAGCTCTGCAAAATATGCGAAGTTCGCCCAACTTTAAAATGATTTTTCATGATTGTTTCCTTTGTTGTTGTTGTTGTTGTTTTCCGCGTCGGCATCTCCACACATGCTCTTCTTTCTATGTCATTAAACCGTGGAGAAGTATCACATTGTCGCAAGTTTATTGATGTACAAAACGGAACGCCTCAGTAAATCTGATCTGCCCGCTTACATTGACTCAGATCTGATTTATATCTGATTTATTTCCACATATGATGGTGCCCTGAAACCTATCTCTGAATATCCAGATGCATGCGCTTTTTTACACTATAGTTTCTCAAACTTTTCAGCCCACGACCCCTAAAATAACAACACCAGTGACTCGCGACCCCTTCTATGCTCGGAGGTGGTTATAAGCATACAAATATTGCACACAATATTGGCACACACACCAACACACCGTTTAGTGACAAGACTGACCTAAGCAGAGTCAGACCTTAAAGTCCTAATGAAATTAGTCAAAATCAAGGCATGATCAGATTTTATTGTGCTCAAATAAGCTAAATCTAGAGGTCTTTGCCTTTCATAGAGACACTTCTGATACCAAATCATCAACTAGAAGTCCAGTTATTATTTGTTGTCCTGAAACTTCGATAGGCGACAAGACTTTTGTCAGGGAGTGTAGAATTGCTCACTTATTGTCAATGGCCATACTTGGATTTAAAGTTTAATTAAGCTTAGAATATATCCTGTAAATAATGAAGAAAATTAAGTTTTCCCTAAATATGTTTAGGGTAAATGTTTAAAAGGTGTCTTTTGGAGGAGTTTAAGGGTGCGTTCACACCTGTGAATGGATTCAGTTGTTCTGAAACAGAGATGACAGTTGTTACAGTGTTGCTCTTTGCTCTTGGTGCGGTTCACTTTCACACTGCACAGTTTCTAATCGGACCAAAAGAGCTAAAACAAGTCACGTGTGAGTAAACTCTCTTCACATTGGTCAGTGTCAGGGTTTATTTAGCAGAGCTCAGCTGTCAGGAGAGGTGGTGGTTTGGTGGTGTTTGACAAGGTGTGCGTGACGTGTCTGAGGAGAGATGCAGTGGGCAGGGGTGAGAAGGGTGCGCGACGTAGCTTATTTGAGGACCAGGAGGGAGACGCGAGATTATCGGGAGATCATCACTCGTTTGTGGGCATCCGGAGACTCGCGAAACTTCCCACCCTACTCATAATTCTCTCTTCATATAGCCGGATGCCTATTACATATCCATAAAACACTGTGATATAACCGCGCTCAGATCGTATCGCTTTCTCACTGCAATTGATCCGCTCCAAAGTCAGTTTCAATCTAACGGAACCACCTCAATCCAGCGATCTCGGAGCGATTACTTTGGCGCGGAACAGAGCGCGATTGCCCTGTTCACATATGCCAAACGAACCGCGCTAACTGGGCAAACAAGATACAATCCGAAACAAAAGTGTAGGGAAAAGCACCCTCAGGGTGTTTTCACACCTGTGAATGGATTCAGTTGTTCTGAAACAGAGATTACTATAGTTACAGTGTTGCTCTTTGCTCTTGGAGCGGTTCGCTTTCACACTGCACAGTTTCTAATCGGACCAAAAGAGCTAAAACAAGTCACGTGTGAGTAAACTCTCTTCACATTGGTCAGGGTTTATTTTGCAGAGTCCCGCTCAGCTGTCAGGAGAGGTGGTGGTTTGGTGGTGTTTGACAAGGTGTGCGCGACGTGTCTGAGGAGAGATGTGGTGGGGAGGGGTGAGAAGGGTTCGCGACGTAGCTTATTTGAGGACCGGAAGGGAGTCGCGAGATTATCATTCCTTTGCGGGCATCCGGAGACTCGCGAAACTTCCCGCCATACTCATAATTCTCTCTTCATATAGCCGTATGCCTATTACATATCCATAAAACACTGTGATATAACTGCGCTCGAATCGGATCACTTTCTCACTGCAATCGACCTGCTCCAGAGTTCGTTTCAATCGAGCCGAGACCACCTCAATCCAGCGATCTCGGAGCGATTACTTTGGCGCGGAATAGAGCGCGATTGCCCTGTTTACATATGCCAAACGAACCGCGCTAACTGGGCAAACGAGATACGTTCCGAAACAAAAGTGTAGGGAAAAGCACCCTTAGGGTGTTTTCACACCTGTGAATGGATTCAGTTGTTCTGAAACAGAGATGACAGTTGTTACAGTGTTGCTCTTTGCTCTTGGAGCGGTTCGCTTTCACACTGCACAGTTTCTAATCGGACCAACAGAGCTAAAACAAGTCACGTGTGAGTAAACTCTCCTCACATTGGTCAGAGTGTCAGGGTTTATTTTGCAGCGTCCCGCTCAGCTGTCAGGAGAGGTGGTGGTTTAGTGATGTTTGACAAGGTGTGCGCGACGTGTCTGAGGAGAGATGTGGTGGGGAGGGGTGAGAAGGGTGCGCGATGTAGCTTATTTGAGGACCGGAAGGGAGTCGCGAGATTATCATTCGTTTGCGGGCATCCGGAGACTCGCGAAATTTCCTGCCCTACTCATAATTCTCTCTTCATATAGCCGTATGCCTATTACATATCCATAAAACACTGTGATATAACCGCGCTCGCATCATATCGCTTTCTCACTGCAATCAATCCGCTCCAGGGTTTGTTTTAATCGAGCCGAGACCACCTCATTCAAGCGATCTCGGAGTGATTGATTTGGCGCGCATCCAAGAGCGATTGGTGGTTTCACATATGCCAAACGAACCGCGCTAACTGGGCAAACGAGACCGGTTCCCAAACAAAAGTGAAGGTGTGACAGCACCCTAAAAATATTTATCACTGATCAATCTAAAACATCTTACACAGCAAAATCCTCGGAGTAAAATGTACTCGGTTCGGAGAGGATTTGGTCCCTGTGTAAATAAAGGCAAACGATTGGTAATAAGTAAAGCTGCTTAATTATCCTCTGCTGAGATTTTGAGAGATTCAATGTATTTCAGCTGATTTCATCTAAGGCTGTGACTGAAGTCAGTTGTAGTTTTCTGTTTGTCTTCTGTGTTTCTGCATAATAACAGCAGGTTTTCATCATTATTATTAGTCCTTTTTATTGTCTTTTTAACTTGAGTAAATTTAACTTAATTTAGAGAGGGACCAAATACCATCTAAACGGAGTAAGTTTTACCCAGAGGATTTTGCGGTGTACATATTTTATTTTGTGTACAGTGAATGATTCTCATCAAATCTTGGGTTGAGCTCGAACACTCTCACTTTTTTTTTAAAAGAGAAGCTACTCTAAGCCACGCCCTCTCCTCATTTTTTTTGTTGCGTTTACATCAAACATTGAATAAAATAGTTGCACATTTCAAAGTGCTTCACAGGAGCTTTCAATATGAACCCAATGTGCACAATGTGTCAAGATGATTGACGGGGCTTGCTACTCAGCAATTCAACAGTCAATACAATGAGGAAGTAGTTTGTTCCAAAGCTTGCACACTCAAAGTATTCACAGTTTCAAGCATATTTTTATTACAAAGTACAAGTGTATTGGGACACAGCGTACTATTATTGCAAGCATGATGTGCACGGTCATGTTGAACTCCGTAAAGCACATGCATGTGGAGTAGGGCTGTATGATATTGGATCTTATTTACTCTAACATTGCAATATTTCTGTTGTTATGTGATTTATATATTGCAATATGAATACAATTTCACTTTAGATTGATTGATTTGTATATGAAGTTGATTGGGATGATCGTGTAGGATAGTGCATTTGCATAAAATGTGCACCTAAATTATGCAGTGCATTACCTGGCATAATCAGGAATGCCGTTTCTCTGGATTGTTTTGAGAAGCTTCCTGAGACGCATCTTTTTAGCAAAGCATTTATCTTATGATTATCCCTTTTACATTTATGCATTTTGTAA